TCGTGCTAGGGAGGTTCCCTAGGCTTTTCGGGGGATTTCGGGGCTAGAGAGAGGTTCTAGAGAGAGAGAGAGAGAGTAAAGAGAGAGTAAAGAGAAGAAAGAATGGGAAAGGTGTGAAGAAAATGAGGGTGGGAGAGGTGGTATTTATAGGGTGAAATGTGGCTGAACTTGGTGCCACATGTCACCATCTGGTGGCAAGCCTTGGGGAGAAAGCAATGGCCAAGATTGTGCCACATCACCCTTTTTCGCACAACACACTTCCGACTTCTATAATCCGTAACTTTCACATACGACCTCCGTTTTTGACGTTCTTTATATCCACGCGTAGGTAATAATAAGATCTACAACTTTCATTTTGACTCCGTCGGCTAATTCTCGACCGATCTTAAATTTAATAGTACAAGGAGATTATACTGTTAAACGTCTGCGTAAAATTCATAACTTCTACATACAGACTCTGTTTTTGTCTATCTTTTTACCGTTGATTTCCTACTAATGAGATCTTCAACTCTCATTTACGTTGCGTAAGCCAAAAACCGCTTGAACTAAAATCGAGTTTCGGGTCGTGCACTGCTAAGCCGAATCTTAAAAAAATCATAACTTCCTCATACGAAGTCAGATTTGGGCGTTCTTTTTATGGATGTTCTCACTTTAACATATACTACAACTTTGGTTTAGATCACTAAGGCTAAAAATCCCTTCATCGTAAATTCACTATTTACGTCTCCCGGTGTCGTGTTGGTTTTGCCGTAAAACTTCGACGACCTATAACTTCTTCATTATAACTTGGATTTTGGCGTTCTTTATATCCTCAGAATCCTTGTTTCGACCACTACAACTTTATGTACAGATATCAGGCTTATCTCACACTTTAATTTTGACGCTTATTTTTATTCTTTATTAAATATATATTTATAATAAAGTAATAAGCACACAAATACACATAATTCACATAGAATTAGAATATTTCATCTTTATTACATCAAAAAGAGTTACAATAGTTGACCTACACTATTACATCATTTAAAAATGCTTAGCCCTGAAACTCGGGCGTTACATGAACCGCCGTTAGAAGCTGTTGTGACTGCCAAGAAAAACGACATGCGTGTGTTGTTGCCACCACTGTGCCCCATCGTCAAGACATTCAGTTGTCGTTGTTGCTGTATTTCTTCCTCCGTGTCGTCTTCTTCTCTTCTCTCTTCTTCATTCGACTGCCTCACGCCACCACATGGGTGGCTGGGATTGGATGCTTCTTTCGTTAAGAGCCACTGTGGTTAGAGGGATGTGGGTATAGGTTCCGTTTGGCCAGAAAAAGACACGAGAAAAACCACCATGGCTGCCAGCCATGGTGGCTGTCGCTGATAACGTTGCTGTTACCCACCACTCTGAATTGCCGTTAGCACCGCACGCTAACAGTTGAGTGGCTTGGTTCTGTTTTCAAGTAGAAATGTGTGGCTAGTTGATTGGATTTCACTAAAGGGCCACCACCACCAGTGTGAGGTGGTGGTCGCCACCATGAACCAACACCGACCACTACAAGGGGTGGCTGTGTGTGTGTTTATTTTAGTGTAGTGGGTGTGTGTGTTTATTTTGGGTATTTTTCATTGTAAATTGTAAATGGAATAATAAAAGAAATTGAAAACCACCACCTTAGGGTGGTGGCTGCCGCCACCGGCCGCCGTGTCGGGTGGCGGTGTGCTTGTCTCGTCGAGTTGATTCGTTTGGGGTGCTTGAAACCCTAATGGGCCTTGTAAGCCCTAATGGGCCCAATGAAGCTTAATTGACTCTAATTGACCCAATAAACCCTAATGGGCTTAATGATATTCTAGTAGGCCTAATAGGCCTAATAAAGCCCTAATTGACATAAAGGACCAACAAATTAATAATGGGCTAGTATTTGAGTTGGAAAGCCCTAATGCCAGTAAAACCTTAATTTAGGGAAATTAATCGGGACACAAGGGAATTATTTAATTACTGGAGATATTAAATAACAACCATTGGCAAAAACTAATCTAAGCAATATTGGACTTAATGGATTAAGTCATTAATAGTTTAAGTAGGACACTTAACCCTAATCATTCTTTTATGAGAAACCCTAATTCCACTTGGGTTTATTGTTCGACCTTTCTATTGGACCTTGATGATTGGGTAATTAATGGGCTTTGAGGTAAGGCTTATATGAGGAGTTGGGCCTAATTTGGAAAATTGGGCCATGTGCTGGGCTTTGATTCTTAGTTAAATTTGGGCCTATGGATTGGGCCTTGGGCTGGAATGAGTCAAGCTTGGGGTAATGCAGTAATTATCCAAGTATGTATTGTGGTTATGTGTTGGGACCCAATTATTAATTGGGTGTTATTTTTGTATTGATAGTTCGGGAACCTATCATCTAGCAGCTGGGGTTGAGTCTGCGGGACTACAGCATTGTGGGATTGTGTCTACGGGACTTCAGCAGTGTGAGGTGAGTTACCTTCCAGTAGGGGAGGGTCTAAGGCCACAATGCCGGCCCACCAATATGGGTAGTTGGTAGATAATATTCTTTGTGATAATTATCTTGGTATGTTTATGTGATATGATCATGAGATATGCTTATGAGATATGCTTATGTGATATGCTTATGTGATATGCTGATGTGATATGTTATGTGTGTTAGTGGTAGTAGCAGTGAATAGCTTTTCCCTGACTCGGTTGTTAGGAACGAAGGGTAGGTAAGTACCCCAGATATGGCTAACTGTATGATTATATCATGTTATTGTATGATAGTGGTAGGGGTGAAATAGTCCCTAGTTACCGGTTAAAAGATACCGATGGCGGATACCGGTTGAAAGATACCAATGACAGCTATCGATTGAAAGATACCGATGGCAGTTACCGGTTGAAAGATACCGAAGGGGTATACAGAACCCATGCAACGTTTATCTGTCTGTTTATGATATGTTAGTATGTAATCAACATGTTTATGATGTTAGTATGTGATCAGTATGTTTATGATATATTATTATGTGATAGTGGTAGGGGTGAAATAGTCCCCGGATACCGGTTGCATGATACCGATGGTATTATTTGGTATGTGGTATGATGGGGGAACTCACTAAGCTTCGTGCTTACGGTTTACAGTTTTGGTTTTAGGTGCTTTGTTTTCAAAGGAAAGGAGCCAACTTGATCACAACGCATCACACTATGGTGTCCGCACATGAGATCCTTGGGATTACACTTTGATATGGTTTTATGATATTATATTTTATTATTGACACTTTGGTTTTGACATGAGACATTATTATTGATGGTCTTATTACATATGGTTTTATATTAACTTACTTAAAAATGAAATTTTTGGTCTTGAATTTTTGGATGTTACAATATGCATCCCGACTTGGCTTGCATTCATCCCCTGTCAATATCTTGTGCATACAAGTAGAGGGGCTCAATCATTTGATATCCATAATTGTCCAATGCATGGCTTCTTTGTGTTCCTTTAACACCTAGATGAGTTGCTCTTCTTTAAATTCAGTTAAGTAAGTATACATGATAACCGGAAGAGTCTCATTCTTTCCCAAGTATGCATACTTCAAGTTTTGAGGTAGGACCTTCAATTCCAATTCCGGTGGTTGAACAAGGGAAGGTGGTGACTTTGTATGAGTTGGAGGCAAAACAAATTGCTTGACATCAAATCTTGTGGATTTCGTTACTTTTAAATTATTGACCAACTTCTTAACTTCCGGTTCTAAAGAATAAAGTTTCAATTTCTCGAAATTGGGGATGTCACAACAGTATACTTTCAACAATGACAAAATCAAAAAAATGTACTCTCCACATCATACTAATTTGTTCGATAATTATCAGAGTGATATTGATCAACAAATTAAGCCCATTACACTTAAATAATATTAGTGATATAAAATCACCAACAATGGTCATAATTGAAAAAATCCAATCAGAAAAATGGAGAATTTGTTTGCATACATAACTCACACCACCATTATCAGTATCACAATGCAAAGAAACCTTCTGATCGCCAATCACGAAACAAAATTACCAATCATTCCCCGAATTTTTATCAAAATAAACATATTGCTTCATTTGTCTAATGTTGGTTTGGCAATTACAAAAAATTTGGGAATTCTTGGTCCCATTAGTTTAGTAATTTGGTGATTCGTCCAACTCTACCAATGAGGTGTAGTACAACAAGACATGTCAAGGTGATTCATAGAAAAACTGAACTCTTGCTACTTTTGACTGTTTTGGCTGCTTTGTTCTACTTATCGGTTAATTGTGCAAAGAAACTAGTGAAAATAGCTTAAAGGGTCCCCAATGTTTTTTTTTTTTTTTTTTTTTTTTTTTTCACAAGCCTTTTCTTGCATGCAAGCAATTTATTCAAACATTCCTTTCTTCAAAAACCTAAACAGAGGAAGGAAAACAATATGAAGTCTTTTCATGACAAGGATATTTATCATTTTATTTTGTTATCTTTTGTTTGGTTTGTTATTTTGAAAGACTATGTACTTTCCAGTTATTTAGTTGAATCATCTAAATTTATTATTAAATCTCTCAAATAATTCCACTTACGAGAGCAATGTGAGAATAATTAGATTTAACTTGGTTTATGGATTTTTCGAAAGGTTTTATACTGAAAAGGTATTTCCTCCTGATTATCTTGCATGACCATTCTTTATTTAGCGGTCAATGTATTATATCGGAATTTGATATCGAGTGATTTAGTTGAGTGCTAAAAGGTTTTTAAAGGTTTATTTCTGATTTGTTTTCTAAATGATATTTTGTCTTTTAGATTTTTGTAGAATAGTTTCAATCTTATTTTCATGCCGGCACTAAGTTCAAAGATGTTGCCGTATTTGGAATACTAAAAAAACACGGATTTATGAAAAAATTGAGAAAAATAATGGCAAAGAGTCGGTATCAGTGTATCACATAAGCCGGGGGGGTAGAAGAGAAAGCTTATGAAGAAAGGGTGGCAAGTGCTTTATAAATTATGTTATGAAAATAATGCCAAAGTTATGTGGGACAGTTGTTAGGTAAGATACCTAAGATTTTGCATAATTTACGTAATATACCCCTTAAATTTTATTAAACAACATAGAATGGGTTGGGTTTCCAAATTAAAAAAATAAAATAAAGAGAGTTTCAAGCAACCTCTTTTTGGTCATTTTCCTTTTTAAGCAATATACTAAACACACCATGATTGATCAACCCTAAGGATTATCAAGGTAAGAAGAAAAATATCTAGATTGTTGCAACATTGACCTCCTTCTCCATTATGTCTACTTTGTTATATACTTGTGCCTTTTTTCTTGCCTCTGATCCATTTGGCATTCCAAAATCATTACCAATGTTGGTAACCATATATGGAGATCCTATATGAATCCTCCTATCATGATCAATGAGAGTAGGTCTGGTTAATTGTCTAATCCCCATTAATTGGCCATTTGTTAGCATCAAAATAACTTCTGACATGGTTGGTCTTTTTGAAGCTGGTGATTGAGTGCATAACAAAGCAATCTCAATGATATGCATCATATGTTCCTCTTGGTTATGGCTCACATCTAGCGTCTCATCAATAAACGAAACATGCTTTTTACTTTCGTATGACTTCCAAGCCTGTTTATAGAATATTAACAAACAATTTATGAGTAAGTATTAATTGATAACAAATTAAACATTAGTTAATCAAGACCAAACATCTAAACAATTACATGTGTAAATCAAGATCAAACATCTAAACATAAGGCATGTGCATCGATGGGAATTTATGCAGTTTTATTAAATGATTGGCAATAATTTATTAAATGGATGTGTGGTTATTTATGCAATACGAGCTCACAATTTATGCAATTTACATAATAAAGTATCTTTTAGACAAAGTATGTAATCACCTTTTATTTCCTGAACAATATATATATATATATATATATATATATATATATATATATATATATATATATATATATATATATATATATATATATATATATATATATATATATATATATATGCACATTTTGCTAGTAACTTGTTTAACGTGTTGATGTATTTTTTCATAATTGGTGGGTTGCGTACGTTGGTTGGAAAGTGAAACATTATTGCATAAATTGGTATAAAAAATATATTGTTAATAAATAAATTGGTAAAATGTGAAATATTACTTGATGCATAAATGAATAATTAACTGTGCCGAGTAATGAGGTAATTAGTCACCTATTACAACAATTTTGTTGTAAAATGAAATGTAGCATACTTAGTCAAAATGTTTGTTTCGTTTCATAAATTATGGTGAATGATTCGTCATCCCACAAATAGATATAATTACAAGTATATATATATATATATATATATATATATATATATATATATATATATATATATATATATATATATATATATATATATATATATATATATATATATATATATATATATAGACACACACACACAAACATACAAGGTCATGGACCAATAATCCAAAAGGGGCTAAACTACATTCATTTGAAACTCCCATATATTTTTCCTTTCACCACATTTGTTTGAAACTCCTATGACTTTTCAATCTCTTTCTAATAATGATTATGAGTTGGTTAATAAGATTAAACAAATATCAAACCTAAAGTGTAATCATATATAAACTAAATTTCAATATTAAAATAATATCTTTAATTCTACTTATAAAGTTATGTTTTTTAACATTAAACATATTATACTTAATTTATTAGTTTTAATATATTATTGGATGTAAATCATTACAATTTTGAAGCTACAACCTCTTAACAATTTTTATAAAATACTGAAATTATAAATTTGAATATAACATTATATGATCAACTTAAATATAGATTTTAGTTTAACTTAAACAACTTAAAACTATTTTGTAAATAGCTAAAAGTGATAAATCTTAGTGGCTTCCTAATAATGATTATAATTTGGTTAATAGGGTTAAATATATATATCAAACCTAAAGTGTAATCATAAATAAACTAAATTTTACCACACATTATGAAGGTTATGAAGTTCTCAATCACATTAATGGTTCATACGATCCCCCTTCTCACAATCCTATAGATCTTGAATAGAAGAAAGTCAACTTTACCTTGAAGATGTAAATTTATGACACCTTTTCACAATATATTCTTCAAATGGTGCTCAAGAAGGACTCATAAAGTTAAAAATATAGTGTAAAATTCAAAGTCAAAAGTAAAATATCAAGTTAAAAAAATTCAACTTACATTTTAAAAATAGTTATAAGGAAAATATTGAATACAAAAAATATAAAATAACCTAAATCTAAAATTTGAATTAACTAAAATTATCATATCATATCATCTATATATATATATATATATATATATATATATATATATATATATATATATATATATATATATATATATATATATATATATATATATATATGATTTTTCCTTTCACCACATTCATTTGAAACTCCCATATATTTTTCCTTTCACCACATTTGTTTGAAACTCCTATGACTTTTCAATCTCTTTCTAATAATGATTATGAGTTGGTTAATAAGATTAAACAAATATCAAACCTAAAGTGTAATCATATATAAACTAAATTTCAATATTAAATAATATCTTTAATTCTACTTATAAAGTTATGTTTTTTAACATTAAACATATTATACTTAATTTATTAGTTTTAATATATTATTGGATGTAAATCATTACAATTTTGAAGCTACAACCTCTTAACAATTTTTATAAAATACTGAAATTATAAATTTGAATATAACATTATATGATCAACTTAAATATAGATTTTAGTTTAACTTAAACAACTTAAAACTATTTTGTAAATAGCTAAAAGTGATAAATCTTAGTGGCTTCCTAATAATGATTATAATTTGGTTAATAGGGTTAAATATATATATCAAACCTAAAGTGTAATCATAAATAAACTAAATTTTACCACACATTATGAAGGTTATGAAGTTCTCAATCACATTAATGGTTCATACGATCCCCCTTCTCACAATCCTATAGATCTTGAATAGAAGAAAGTCAACTTTACCTTGAAGATGTAAATTTATGACACCTTTTCACAATATATTCTTCAAATGGTGCTCAAGAAGGACTCATAAAGTTAAAAATATAGTGTAAAATTCAAAGTCAAAAGTAAAATATCAAGTTAAAAAAAATTCAACTTACATTTTAAAAATAGTTATAAGGAAAATATTGAATACAAAAAATATAAAATAACCTAAATCTAAAATTTGAATTAACTAAAATTATCATATCATATCATCTATATATATATATATATATATATATATATATATATATATATATATATATATATATATATATATATATATATATATATATATATATATATATATAGATGATATGATATGATAATTTTAGTTAATTCAAATTTTAGATTTAGGTTATTTTATATTTTTTGTATTCAATATTTTCCTTATAACTATTTTTAAAATGTAAGTTGAATTTTTTTTAACTTGATATTTTACTTTTGACTTTGAATTTTACACTATATTTTTAACTTTATGAGTCCTTCTTGAGCACCATTTGAAGAATATATTGTGAAAAGGTGTCATAAATTTACATCTTCAAGGTAAAGTTGACTTTCTTCTATTCAAGATCTATAGGATTGTGAGAAGGGGGATCGTATGAACCATTAATGTGATTGAGAACTTCATAACCTTCATAATGTGTGGTGATAAGCTCTCTCGACGAATCATAACTGAAATGTTATAGGTCAAGAATGAGAGGGGTGTAGAACTTGATATTGGGGATGTAGAGGTGGTCATTGGTGAAGAGAAGAAGCAGTCGAAAACAGCTAGGTTTCGGCGGTGTAGGAGAAGATGACATGAAAGGTAAAACCAAGAGGCAATATTTTGTGAAAGATTTTTGGAAGTCTACGATACCATATTATTGTGAATGACTCTTTACATCTATATATACAGACATACAAGGCCATGAGCCATACATTTAACACATTATTACAGTAAAATTTATTTATCTTTTACTAAAATATAAGTATTGTAGCTATGATCTTAGTTTTTAGTTTAAGATTTCTTAAGTTGATATGAAGTAGCTAATTATAGAAAAGGTTTATTGTAACACTAAAGAATTGACGCCTGCTTCAACAAGACAACCATCTCGAAATATAGTTTTTTATGAGTATGTATGTGTGAGGGATGTAGAAGACTTTAGTCTAAAACGGTCTTAAGACCAGATCTTAAAATTCAAATGTCGGGTTTTATGTAGAAAAATTATATCATTTTGGGAAAATTTTGGATAAAATCCTTAAAAAATTAAATACAAAAGTCCGGATTATTTAATGTTTTGTCTAATTTAATGAAAAAATCATTTTTATTTTATTTTAACAGGAAATGAAACATTATGTGCTTTTCCCAAAATAATGAGATATTTCTATTAAAAAATCATTTGACACTTTATCAAAAAATTTCCAACGATTTTTCTGTATAAAACCCTTCAAATCTTACTCTCGTTGTTCTTAATTCTTATTTTCTTTTATTATATGTATTATTTTTTACTTTACTATATATAAACCAAGGGAGCATAATATTAACGGGGTATCTCACATGTTCCAACAGGTAATCCACGGATGTTCTTTCAATGTTCCTGTCACTACACCTTCTTCCACTAATGATTTCAAGAGTTACGATGCCAAAGCTATAAGTATCCACTTTGTCTGATAAAATACCATGAAGTGCATATTCTGGCGCTGCGTAGCCCCTGGTATTTTGTTATGTAACAATAAAAAATCAACAATATCATTAGAGTCGTTAAATAACCAAAGATATATATATATATATATATATATATATATATATATATATATATATATATATATATATATATATATATATATATATATATTAATGAAACTTACAATGTCCCGGCAAACTTGGTGTTAATATGACTTAGATCATCTGGGTGAAACCTTGCTAGCCCAAAATCTGCTATTTTTGGTTGAAAGTCATGATCAAGGAGAATGTTGCTTGACTTTATGTCTCTATGTATGATTTTTACATGGAATTCATTATGAAGATGAGCAAGACCCCTGGCTAACCCATATATTATGTCATATCGTTGTTTCCAGTGCAAAGTCCCCTTTTTTGCACCTACATTATATATCAAGACATATATTAGTATTACCATCTATTTCAATTTTAATAATTATCATTGATGATGTATAAGAACATAGCTGACCCCACAAGAATCTATCAAGGCTGCCATTGGGCATGTATTCAAGGACAAGAAGTAGATTAGATCCTTCGCTTGACCATCCTAAGAGACGAAGAAGATTTCGATGGTGAACGTCACTTATGAGCTTCACTTCGTTTTCGAATTCTTCTTTTGCTTTAGCATTCCCCACTTGAATTTTCTTAACAGCCACAATATTGTTATCATCAAGAAGCGCCTAATAAAAATATATAGAAGAAATTAGTCATATTAATAATTTAGGTTTTAATGTCGTTGATTCAAACATATAATAGCAAAGAAATAATAGGACGCACTCCCATTTGATCACTAATATATGAAATTAAGTAGGTAATAAAACCGAGGTGATATCATTTTAAAGCTATAATAACTAACATGTTTTGGTGTAATACTGATAACACAATAAAAAAAATGCAATATAAAAAGTTCATTTTTAATACCTTGAACACATCACCAAAACCTCCTCTTCCTAAAATATTATCTTCGCTGAAATTGTTTGTTGCGGACTGCAGATGTTTATAATTGTAGTTAATTCTCCCATCCAGGTCTGGTTCGCCTATAAAGGCATCACATGGTTGACATAAATAAAGATAAATGTAATCAGTATGATGGTGCTAAGCGTAACATTTTGTTAACAAATACACTATGAAATAATACAAAGTTTTATAATTACCTTCTTTTATCTTCTTAGATTTCTTTAACAGTCGAAACCATAACCAATAAACAATCAAAATGAATATAAGAGCTACACTGCCAATTGCTCCAACAATTTTGGGCACGTTACTTGAATGCCCAACAACTATTATATTGTTTATGAATCATCAAGGAAAAAATTAACGGATTCAGTACCACTAGATTAGAAACCAAAGAAACTTGAAATGTCAAGTAATAGCCTAACCTTTTATAAAATTTGTGATGTCTGTTGTCTGGTTATCGTTGAAGAATGGAGTCTCTGAATACCTTGCAAAACAACCCATGTAGATAGACCTTCCTTCTGTGTTAGGAAGACAATTTGATAAACTGGTATACGCTGCATTGATGCAGTTTTGGCAAATGTTTTGGGTTATATTTTGAATACACTGTGCAATAGCATACACAGTTCCATTTCCATTTCCATTTGTGTTTTGCCTTGTAGATGCTACATAGAAATTAGTGGTTTTTGGAGTGGCATCTTTAATATCTGATAACAACCCATCTACAGCTTGGGTAAAAATAGATGGCTGATATGGCATCTGATTGCCACATAATTGAAGTGGGGCTATACCAGCATCCTCGACCACATCTGGGTTAGCATAGAAGTCACTATAGTTCTCGTACCTTAACAACAAAGGGCTTTGATTCGTTAGAAATGATTTCCCAAACTTGTTGAAGATACTAAAATTTGATTATTTCACAAATTGTAGTAAATAGTAAATAAGACGCCCACAATCCAAATTAACAATCTTTTTGGCCAAACATAATATATGAGATAATATCTTGGTAGGTATATGATTGACATGTTTAACTGATATTTTTTGGAGAGCAAGAACAACTAATAGTATTAATTAAGAAGCTAGCGAGGGCTAGGTTTCAAAGTAAAGTTATATTCTTTGTTGGGATCACGATACTAATCTTCCCAATTCATAATTCTAACCGTCCCACCTAAGGCAACGATGAGAACTATATGGTTATAAGGTGATGGAAAACACGATTGATTAATCAACATGGGCACCCAATCTTAATGATAGTGATTTTGCTACGGAAAGTTTTGAAGGATCGGAAAGTGACAGGGAAAACATGATTTTCCGGTAAACTCTCCGGTTAAAAGCCCACGGAGTTCAACATATCATCTAAGAAGTTCCATTAAGGTTATCGAACCACTTACCATAGTCCACCTTGAAGATAAGAATTATTTTCCCTTCTTATTGGCACAAGTGATGACCTCATTAACTATACTAACACGACATTTAAGATAATTTTCTCCGAAATGAAAATTGATTGGTCGTTGCAAATAAGCTACTAAATAACATTCTTGAGGCTTTTCGCTAGTACTTTGGAAATAATTTTTTTATGTACCCACTGAGGTTAATGAGTCTAATATCCAATGAGGTCAATGATCTATGTGCTCATGATATCATAGAATTATTTATGAATTGCGAAAGTAAAACCGTCAGGTTTAGGTGCCTTTTCATTTCCACAACCTTACACCGCCTCTTTATCTACTCAAATGTGAACGGTGCTTCCAAGGAATTATTTTATGTTTCCATGATTTTCAAGACTTTTTCGCTATAAAAGTTGTGTCTGTTCATGACCTGATCTTGAATTTTGATTGTAAAGTATTTATAAATCTCATCTTTGATTATGTTCGGATAAGAAACCAAAGATCCATTAATATTGAGGTTGTTTATTATCGATTGTAACAAGTCGTGAAGATAACTTGTGTTCTCATCGACATCAAGGGCCTATTTACTACTTAGCTTTTGCCTTAGATTCAAAAGAGATTTGGTTTTGAAATCTTGGAGTATAGAAATACATTATACCTTATCCATAATGAAATCTTCATCCAACAAGGAAAATTCTACAATGGTTTCTATGGCTTCCACCTTTTTCTTAATGATGCCATGCTTTTAATTTTCTTAAGTTTTTTGAAAGTCTCTTGATTTTAGGGAAAATGGAAAGCTGAACGTGCTTGGTATGCCATCTATCTTTGACTATCTAATCCAAATCATGCTTGGTATGCCTTCTATCTTTGACTATCTAATCAGAGTTGTCCTCAATAAGCCAAGAACGAAATAACCGAAAGCAGCTCTACCCAAAATCCCTAAAATTTTTGTCCAAGAAAATAGAGCAGCGATCCGAGTGTAGCGTGTTAGTTTTAGGGAATCAGAATAACAATATGTAAACTTGGATAATTTCTAGGATCATGTTTTTTCAATACACCCTTGAAATCTGTAACTCTTTCCTATTACCTAGGGTACACAAATTCAGAAGTAAGATAAATCTGAATTACAAGCCTAATTCGAATTGAGAAACACAAATTCACGACCTATTTTTGGCGGGAATCACCGCTAAGGGCTCTGCTACTTTGACCTCGCAAGGAGCGTTGACAATTCGAATGTGCACCCCACACCTCCAATCTCAAATAGAAAATAGAAATCAGTTTGTCTTGATAACAATACTAACTACCCTAAAATATATTGATATCACAAAAATCACCAATATAGCATAAGCAACACTGGCCAAATAAAGGAAAATGAATCTACAGAAATTTATATGGTTTAAAAAATTTAGATCCATGTGTATCATGTTCTTCGTTCCCCAAATGGGTTGTACGTGAGCCTCTATAATGTTTTCCAATCTTTGCTCTTAAATGCACAAAAGATTAACCATATAGCAGGTAACCATATCACCAATCCAAAATCCAAAACCTCTTAGAAGTATTGGCCCACCTCGTTGATGTGTATAGACAAACACTTTAATGTAAACCATGCGAGTCACCATTCTTAGGGTGAGCATGGTGCGGTTCGGTGCGGTTTATGGTTAAAACCAAACCGAAAACCGCAACTTTGATTTTTTAAAGTTTAGAAACCACACCGTTCAGTTTTTGCAATTTTTTTTTCAGTTTGTTATGGTTTGGTTTTTTCTTTGCGGTTTTTTGTCAGTTTTTTTATTTGGTTTTTTTTGTTTTGCCTTTTTACTAAAACTCAGGTAACTCAAATAGTTACTTTGACTCGGATGAGAAGTGTTAATCACTTTTTGAAAAACTTTATGTAGATATGAGGATAGCCAAAATTTTCATTCCCAACAATGTGCAACTCCTCAAAGATGTGGGTTAAAAGCTATAGACTTGACTATCTTATATGAAATGTGAGAATGGTGAAGGTTTTCTCTCAAATGCGATAGGGGATACTTTTATAAGGCTGAGAAAATTGAAACCCAAATGATATCCTGGAGATGAACCAATATCACCACCTCTTGGTTTTAAATCAAATGACATAACCACTTATTCAACATGGTTTAAATGCTTGAATATAATATGAATTAAATATAATATTTGGTTCACAGTTACATACGATAATATCAATTAATATATTTATAAAAATGATATTGTCATCACTAGTACTCTTAATATTAAAATGTTAAAAAAAAATATAATAAATATTATTTGTTTCTGTAAATATCAATATATGTATACTTAAAAGTATACAATCATTCTCTAATAAGATAGATATTTATATTTATAGAAATTCTAATTGTCATGATTTCTTTGTTATTTCAAATATCAACACTTGACACACACACACACACACATATATATATATATATATATATATATATATATATATACACACACACACACACACGGTACGGTTTGGTTTTTTACAAGACTAGAAACCGCACCACACCGAATATTTTTGGTTTTTGCAAAACTAAAAACCGCACCGTTGGTTTTCATTTCGGTTTCGGTTTCAGTTTTTCAGTTTTTGTTTATGCGGTTTTTTTCGGTTTGCGGTTCGGTTTTTGATCACCCATTCACCCCTAACCATTCTTCACAATCGTACTCTTGATTAGATCATCCATTCCTACCAAATTAAGCCAATTGATATACCTAACTCCATGGTGCCCACTAATGTTGTGAAATTCTTTGGAGACAGAACAACGTTAATTTGAGATTGTGAGATTTTTTCCTTTTGAATAATAGATTTTAGCCTATGTTTTGATCTAAATTTTTTTTTATAATCCGAGTAAGACGTACATGTAACCTCTTGTTGGAATTGGAAGGTGTGGTATTGGACCATGCTAGAGTTAGATTTGTGAACACACCATTTAGCTTTGTATTCATTTTTTTGGAAAAATCACAAGGAAAATTATTTGTTAGAGTCATCATCGTCCACTTATGTACTAGGGCTATCATTTTTTTTCCATAACCCTTTTCTTCTTAATATTTGACCTAACTAATTAAGTCATTTCGTCCTCCAAATAATCCTCCTCGACTACGTGTTCCTTGTCCTCTAGAAATACCTATGCTAATTAATTGAATTTAGTTATTAAACTATAGTTTTTAAATTATAATAAATTTATTTAAAAAGAAAAAAAATAAAGTAAAATGAAATGCCACAATTTTTTTTGTTTTGAAGAATAAAGTTAAAATGAATGGGCGGTGAAATATGACACGAAAATAACAAGTAATAAAAGACATATGTAGCCTGCAAAATTCCAAGCCACCAAACATTGAATGTGACTTCTGGTACAAAAGTCATGTACTTTGACGCAAATAAGAGAAAAGGTAGTCGTTGAATTGATCCAGTATTCATTGTATCTTGATGGTGACATTTCCAAGCAAGTTTGACTATTATCCTTTAAACTTTAAACCGCTTCACAGTTTTAGAAGTCACAATTTCCAAATAACGTGTGGATATTTTCGTTCCAACTTTATATAGAATAATAAGTAAAATATAATATAAAATTGAATTATCTTTAATTATATATATATATATATATATATATATATATATATATATATATATATATATATATATATATATATGACAATATATTTTTGATTTGTTAAGATGAATATGCATTTTTATAATGTTTTATGGATCAAATCAAAGGAATATATGGAAAATATGGAACCATATACTTAGATTTATCCATAGAACCATATAAAAATACCCCATAAAATGTCGAATCTAAAACACATGACACATGGTTCACTTATTAAAAATTACATTGGCCTTCAATTTTTTCCATACTACAAGATAGATCCTAAAAAAATTTATATAACTTTTAAAAAGTTATTAAAATTCAGTAGATCCTAAGACCTATCTAAAATATATGTAGGTCCCTGCCCATGGACTACATATTTTAATTATTATACATTATTATAACACTATGGACTACATTTCTATATATTTTTTATGAAACGAAATAAAGTAAATATAGGCATTGTGTAAAAGTGAAGACAGGGAAAATTAGTTGCCGGCATTAGCAGGCAACACAGTTACATTTTCTTTTGTCAACAATATGCAAGTGCAAAAAAAAAAAAAAAAAAAAACGGAAAAAGTTACTAATCTTAAAATTACAAAAAAAGTTGGTGAAGACAGGGAAAATTGAGTTTTGTAAAACTGGTTGCTTCTTCAACTAATTAAAATTTTGAATTAGTAGATTTTATAGATACAAGAAAAGTTTACCTGACAAAACAGTCATCCAAGAAAACATAAGCGCCATTGCCTGTAACGCAGCCGATTAGTTGAGCTACACCCTCATCGAAACAAGCCACACACTGAGCTGTGGAGAGGTAGTTCCTGCACAAAGCAGCTCCAAAGACGGAGTCTTTTTCTGATAAACTCTGTGCTGTAGCATAGAAGACATCGTTGCTTGAAAGCTTTCTTCTGATCTCAGCTAGGGTAGAATTGCGGTTGTTGACAAAATTTGATAGAATGATCGGAGGGTTACGACCACAGAATGATCTGATGGGTGTGTTAATATTGTTTTGGCTGTTGTTTGTCTGTGAAACTCCTGGGTTAATCAGAAATAGGACAAGGAAAACCACCATGATTGCCATCAACCACAGTCACCAAAGTGAGAATCTTTACGAATTATGAAAAATGTAAAAAGAAAAGAAGAGATCGAGGGGGGTTTCAAAACTGGTGCTCAAGTAACATGGCAATGGGTTTTGGCCCGACTTTGTGTATAATGTTTTAATATAATAAATATATCTGGTCCAAAGAACATATCATAATGCAATATATTGTTGAAAAAAGTGGAAAGAAAACCTGGTTTGTCGATTCTCATCACCCTTGGATAGTGATGTCAATATTGTCATCACCGACTTACTTATTTTTTTAACGGAAAATTTAATGGATATAATTTCTTCTTATTTAACTTGATAGGGCTCTAAGTAGGGATGAGAATAAGTGATTCCCGTCCTAATTATATGTAACCGGAACATGTGATTCTTAAAATATTGGAACTAGAACCGGATAGCGGTTTTAATATTGGCTAAGTGTTTTGTTAAATTTAAAACTCATAAAAATATATCTATTATAAACTTATAAGAAGTTATTGATAACATCAATATGTATTTTGTTACATATTAAAAATTAGTATTAAAAAAAATATATCAGAACACTTAATAACATGACGACAAAATGTGTGTTTTTTTTTTTAAAAAACATTTAAAGATTCGAAACAAATTACTTAAAATTCTAAAATTTTAAATCATGCAAATTCAAGATAGCGTAAAAAGTATGTGATTGTGATATATATATATATATATATATATATATATATATATATATATATATATATATATATATATATATATATATATGAGGATAGGGAATATACATTACAGCCTCACCTAAGCTTACGTACTAAACCTCTAAAATATGTCGTTTTAACATGCTAAATGTCATCGGTTTGGCTTCACTTGGTAAATATATCATCCTACATAACATTTTTTTCTTTCATTATTGCTTTACCATCTTTGTTTTCTTTCTTCAATTATCGTTTATTACTTCACCCAAGTGAGCATTACTAAACCCTAAACCTAAACCCTAAACCCTAAATTTAAACCCTAAACCATAAGCCTAAACCTTAAACCCTAAATCTAAACCCTAAACCTTAAACCCTAAACCCTAACCCTAAACCCTAAACTTAAACCCTAAACCCTAAACCCTAAATCTAAACCCTAAACCCTAAACCCTAAACCCTAAACCCTAAACCCTATTGTATCGATCTTGAATTTACATCTTGAAGTATTGACCGTGAATCCATTAACGTAATCTTTATATAGTAAAACAATATATTTTCAAGAGGTTTAATACCTAAGCTTAGGTGGGGCTGTAATGTATATTCCTTTTTCCTTATATATATATATATGTGTGTGTGTGTGTGTGTGTGTGTGTGTGTGTAGAGGTGGGTTCAATTGAGTACCTTTGACAAAAGCAAATTACTTAAGACTAATAACAGAATCGATGACTGCAACCAACCTATTAGCTAAAAGTTTACCAATAATTTTGTATTGGCAACCTATTAGGCTAATAGGTCTAAAATCTTTTATGATTTTAGGGTCTCAAACCTTAGGGATAACCATGAAGAAAGAAGCATTACACAGCCTTTTGGAATGCAACTATGATCATGAAAATGTTGAATAAAAGCAACCAAATCATCTTAGACAAGATCCCAAAATCTCTTAAGGAAACCAAAATAGAAACCATCCGGCCTAGGAGCTCTATCAGAACCACAATCCCAAATAACCCTTTTTATTTCTTCTCGAAAGAAAGGAGCTTAAAGAAAGAGAACTTGATATTTCGTGAGAGAATGAAACATATTAGTATTAGTAGAGGGTTGACTCCATATTTTCTTCATGAAAAGATTTTGATAATAAAGTTGGAACTCCTTCTTAACTCTCCTTGGGTCATCAACCCAAGTACCATCAATCATGATGCCTCTGATAGCAAGATGCTGCCTCTTCCTATTAATAACACCATGGAAAAACCCAGAATTCTCATCACCTTCTATGGCCATTGAACTTTCGCTTTCTGAGCAAGGTCAACTCTAGAAAGATGATCTAAATTTGATAACTCTTTAATGGCTGAGACTCTTTGTTGACAAAGATCAACGTTACCCCCATCAAGCATAAGAGAAGCATCAATCGATTAAACTTTATCTTGGAGCATTTTCCTTTTATTAATCATACTATCACGAGCACAAGAATTCCAAATTGTAAGGTTAGATTTAAGAAGTTAAAGCTTCTTATTAAAAAAACCCATGGATTATCAATCATATACCCAGTAATAATAGAGTTCCAAGAATCATGGACCACTTCATCAAAACCTTCAAGCTCGAACCAAAAATGAAATACACGAAAAGAAGACAGACCATAATCACTCGATGTTCTAATAAAACAATAGGGTGATGGTCTGGGATATTTTTATCCAAAACCAAACCCGTGAGATGGGGAAAACGAACCAAAAGACCTTCAGAGGCCAGAAAATGATCAAGTCTTGAAAACTTGGATCCCTATTTGTCACTCCAAGTATAACGAGGACCACCCATAGGAATATCAACTAACTCAACATTATTAATAACTTGATTAAATAATCTAGCTGGAGTATGATGGAAATGAGAACCAATTCTTTCAAACTCGTCTCTAACTTCATTGAAATCTCCCATGACCATACATTCTCCCAAAAAAGAAGCTATCAAGCTGGAGATTCGGCCCAAAGATGTCTTTTCGAGTTGTCTCTTTGAGGAGCATAAATGGAAATCAACAATATATCCATTCCAGAAATAGCCCAAACACCCTCCACCGCCACGTACCAGTCAGAGATGATCACTTTATTATGAGTAAAAAATTTTATTTCCCAAATAACTAGAATGCCACCCGAAGCACCACGGAGGGGGGGGGGGGGGAAGCATGACAGAACGTAAGATTACCCCAGAAAGAACGAAGAAGGAAAAGGTGAATAAGCTCCTTTTTAGTTTCTTGAATAGCCGAAAAATTAATCTTGAATTTATCACAAAGGGATTTTATCCATGCCCGTTTGTTTAAAGAACTCGCTCCTTGGATATTGATAGATAGACATTTCATAATTAAAAATCTTTTGTACGCTCCCCTTGAACAATATTATTAACTTGTTCGACAAAATCTTGCATGTTTAAACCGATGACCTCTCCCATTTCAATTGTTTTACTGGATTCAATCCCATTAGATTCATTGTTGAATGAACCTTAAGAGAACATTTCATTCTCCCCATAAATTTTATTAGAACCAGGTGGGTGGGATAAAGAATTATCCGAAGATTGAATGCCATCCATACAAATATAGCCACCCGAAAACCAACCGGTGTAGGACTTTTTGAAGCATCCGTATCAGTAACATCTGCTGAGGAATTCTCGGAAGCAGAAGTAGGAGCTTCTATCGAAATGACTGGAGCAGTAGGGGCTGCTTGCGAATTGACAACATCAACAATAGGTGTTGCGTGAACAGTGGCAGCAGAAACCATTTTTTTGGCAGCCTCACTTGATCTGGTACCTGAGCATGACTGTGAAGCAGCGGGGGTATTTCCGTCAGATTTATGATTAGGTGATGAAGAATAAAA